TCCAGCTTCCTATCTGGCCTGACTACAACTGAACCTGGAACTTCAGCATCACGGCATGTCACTAACCCATCACTCTTCTCTCCATACCTAAGCTGCAAGTGGAGTGCGCACACAGCCATAGCAGCAGATACGGGAATCACTACTGGCACCTGGTGTCCTGCTTGGAAGTCATCAGATTCCTCGCTCCCAAACTTTGGGAGGGAAAGCCAAGGAAGTTCTGCGTGTGCTATGTGAGTCATTGTTGCAAGGACACCTGGAGCAATGCTTGCTTCCGAGTGGAAAGAGATAAGTGGAATTTCCTTTGGAAGCTGGTGCTTTGAGATGAATTCCCTCCGCTTCTCATACGTGAGATCCTCCAATGCTCGTATGTCACCCTAAATTTATTCATAATGATATAAGAAATCAGCCAGATATTTCAACAAATTGGGCTGCAGATGCAGAAAAAAAATCATATAGTCAAGAGAAGCACAAAAAGCACCCAGCCACAGACAAGATCCAAGTAACATAACACAAGGAAACATTTAAAAAATAAACAGTAATCCTGTGCAGGAGCATAACTATAAACTCTGGCAGTATATATAGGACACAAAGGAAATAAGAATCAAAATAAAAACAACATGGAAAGCTATTTATATAAAGCTAGGGAAACATATCAGCATAATAAGAGTTTCCTTGTTATTATTCGCACAGACTTTCCTATGGATTTGTATCTAGGCAGAGACAAGGACTACCTTAATTATTTTGCAGATCAAAAGCTCCATGATCCTCCGAGTTTCTTTGTCAGCAATCTGGCCTTCACGAAGAATGTCAGAAGCTATGGGGGTTCCAGCATATGGACTCTGTACCAATGCCAGTCCAGCAACTTTGTTTTTCAAGTCAGAAGAGTAGATCGACAATGCAGCTGCGGCATCAACCCCACCCTTGCTGTGCCCAAGCAGCATCACACGCTTGCCTGAACCCCAATATAGCTCCTCAATATATTGCTTCAGCTCCCATGCATTATGCTCCACTGATGCCTTCATAACAATGGCAGCGCGATGGATAAGCAGATGATATCATAATAGCTTATGATCTAACTTAACTATAGAAGTGAAAGAAAAAGTAAAATTAGAGAACAGGACAAACAACCTCATTAAATAATCATTTTTCTAAAACTTTCTGGTTCTCCGGTCAATTTAGTCTAGATAAAGGACCGAGTAAACAGTGATTACCTCACTGTGAATTTTTGCAATGTGGCAAGCTAGACCCATCTTAGAAAAGAATCTCTTAGCACCCACAAAATACAGGGGGCCGTGATTACTAAAAAGGCCTGATAAAGGTAAAAATTTGCATTATGTTGGGTTTACAACATGCCAACTATTGACCGAAAAAAAATTCCAGATTTGAACATCAGGGTACAGGGATTTTCTAAACCTGGTATTAATAAATAAACAAATGTGTTCGGAAGGTTGTGCTCTCCATTCCTGAGGAATAAGCATAACAAAGAAAGAGTAGGTATCAATAAAATTATGAACCCAATTATAAGAATTCATATCCCTGACAGAGCACAGAGTAGCAGTTAACACTCAAGTGAACAACCAGTTTGAAAAAATAGCAACTTAAAATTGAAAACGCAGTTAGATGAAAAATCATAGTTTGACCATTAATCACTAGCACATACCGGGCAATCCCAAACACTTCTTTGAGACAACGCACAACCAAGGCAACAAGCATATACCAGTATGAAAATAATTTCAGAGAGACTGCATTAATTAACGAGTCACAAATGAAACAAAAAAAAGGCAGTTACTGTTATGTCCTAAGTATTCCATCTCCAGTGCCATCACATTTTTTTAGTTTCCCAGCCTTCGAAACATAGCAATTGGTTGATTTCTACTAATCAGATATATCAAATAAAAATTGGTCATTACCTTACTCTCTCAAGCAGCTCTAAGAATCTAACTGTACCATCCTCCACTGGAGCCATGTCATGTGTATGCTGTAGCCATCCAATATCATCCGACGAACCACGCAAAGTTTTGCAAACACGAGATGTAATGCTGAAGATGCAAAAATGCAGACTAAAATCATAAAAAAAAAAAATGAAGGGAAGCAAAATTTATACAGATGGAGTCAGTAATCTCAGCGTAGAAGGTAAAGTCTAAAAGAAACCTTCAAAAACTCTTCTACAGAAAATGACCTATGAGCCTGCAAAGTTGTAAGCAACTTCTTTTACCTAAGAACTTGAGCTTGCGTGCATCTGATATAATAAAGTGAACATCTCCAGGAGGCCAATGCCAACATCCAGCCAAGTCGTAAACCAAACAATGGGAGCATCAACCTGCACCCCTTTCAGAGTAAATTTGTGATAGAAAATGATATTGAAGGCATCAATTATCAAATAGCTGCAAATAACAATAGCATATTTGTACTATCAAATTTTGTATCTTACTTACTTTTGAACCTTGTGCATTAGAAAACCCACATGGACACGTGCATGACACAGATAGTACAGATTAAGAAACTGTTTTGACAAATTATTGAAGAAAAACAGGAGAGAAAAGAAAGCAACAACAAATTAATTAAAAAAAATAATCAGTCATTCAGTTCATTTATGGATAAATGTATGATCAGCTCAAGGAAGAAAAGGAAATTTACACAGGCTCATTGTGGAATTTCAAATTGAAAACTAGATTAAACAAGCTTGGCTTTGATTTTATTTCCGACAAATCTAACTTTTTTTTTCAGTAACCAAACCATGGAGAAGTTTAACAAAAAATATTTATACCCTTGAATAATTAATGAAACACCTCGATGACTGCAACCGGTTCTAGCTTCGTGTCTTGTATTTACAAATAACTCTTCCCTGACTTCTGCCGCTCTTGTTCTGTGGATTTCAGGACTCTTATTAGCAATATAATGTTCAGAAAACAATGAAAACCCTTTGACATTGGATCTATAGATGTTGTGTCCTGAAGAATGTGAATGCGGTCCAGAAGAACTGGCCGCAAAACTCTCTGAGTATCCATTGAAATCGTGGTATATAAGATCCTCTGCCAAAATAGCTTTGCATCAAATGTAGCCAAAATATCCCAAAAATATGAAAGTAAACCAGAAGAGCTAATTCAGCACCTATGATAGCCTATCACTCACCAATAAAATGAACCAGTCGACGCCTAAAATATGTAGTCAATGTTAAAAGGCGGGTAAAAATGTCATCCAATGATGAGGGCGATCCAACAGAATCAACAAAAAGACTCACGTTATTCACAGCATCATTATGTGCCTGATAAGAGGACATATGAGGTCTAGAAAACTGAGCTTTCGAATCAAACTGAATTGAGGACAGCATAGATAGTCGTAATGAAAGTTTACACCATAATTTCATGACAATCCTTCATCAATGAAGAAGCGTTTCATCACATTGGTTCTTCCCAGAATCCCATCTTTTAGCTTTGACCAAATATAAACTTCACCAAGTTTTAATAGGCACACGGCACACGCACGTCCACACACACACTCACAAATGCACACAAATTCGAAATGCAAGTCTTACCACATTCTTTATTTGGCAACCATGTCTTTCCAGTAGGCCGCATTCACTTAATGGATGATCAAAATGGTGCCTCTAAAATCACGAAAAAAGAAACAGAGAGAGAGTAAAAAACACGGTTAGACATAACGTTGAGTTAGACATCAAGAATCACCTCAAGAAAAGAAAAGGAACTAAGCATTAGAGAAATTCTATGGGATATAAGATGAGATAATTACTCTTGAAGGGATATCACTAATTTCTTCTTTGATAAAAAAATCTCCCATTTGATCTTCGTATCCTGAGATAACATAAAATCAAAATGATTTAGAGAACAAAAAAGCTGTCCCAGCCCATTCCTAAAGCACACATAATGGATCCCCAGAAAAAAAAATGAAGTGTAGAAATGGTTAGGATGGGAAAGGAAAGCAGCCCCCGTTTTGAGATGGTTTGTTAAATGGGATTTGTGGTCATCAACTTTGACAGAGACCAACAAGAATTTCAGTGTTTCAAACATTGTCAAAGGGCAAGGAAAGGACTGAAAGAAAAAAGAAAAAAAGAAACGAAAATCCAAACCAGAGTGAATTGAGTTAAAAAAAGCAGAAGCAGCAGAGCGGTTAAAAGAATTCAAAGAATCAAAAGAGCAATAGAGGTTAGCAGAAGGGCCGGTGAGGCTGACTTACAGACATGAAGGCACAATAAAATACAAACCTGCACACCACAGAAATAGAGGGAGGCTCTTTATAGTGACACAATAAAAAGGCCGTCTGAAAAAACCAAAATCAAATAAAATTAAGAAAGAGTAGGCAAAGGAAAGTAAGCAACCGAATAATCATGGGGATGGGAATGGAGCCCACGGATGGATGATCATCGTTATCCACTTGTTATTATTATTATTATTATTTTACTTCTCTGTTTCCCACTTATACAGGATTTCTTTCCTGTTATTTTTTTTAAACAATAATAATTTATTTATTTATTTGGGAGAAAGAAACAGAACTCAAAACTTGCTTGTAAGCAAGGAAAGCCAAGGGCAGTGAAGTGATGCTGATCACTGCTCCAGCGGGTCTTTGCTCCTTTACCTTCCTTTTCTATTCCTCTTTGGGAATATGAGAGACACGTGGCGTGTTGGGTCCAATTCCATGGTGAGCGTGGACAAGAGCTCCTCCATGAGAGCGGAACCCGCACCCAATCCCACGTTGCTTTTGTTCTTCTTTTTTCTCCAAGTACACCTCCGGCAGATTCGTGGTTTTTTTTCAAAATAATTTTTATTTAAAAATTATTAAAATAATATTTTTAAAATTAAAATATCAAGTCGAAATAAAAAAATCAAATTTAATTTAGTTATTGTGAAAGGATTACAGAAACGTCCAGAAATCAGACTAGCTAATTTACATCATTGCTTGCACTGCCTATTGAAAAGAAAACTTCCTAGTCAGCTGGCATGTGCCCACCCTGAAACTCTTGTCATGAGAAACATGGAGAGTGTGGTGCCAGAAACTTCAGTCTTCTTGAGAGGGTCTTTGTACAAGAAGAAAATGGTAAAACAAGATATGCACAGAAAACTGTCACTAATGAGATAATGCAACACAAAAGGCTCCTTCACGTGTTCTTTCTAAAATTCAAACAGCAGCTCTTTTTAGGACTTGACAGGCAAACAAAAGTGGATGATTTCTTTGCTAAAGCTTCACAATGAACTTCACCACTCTTTCATATGCTACAATTTATTCCATTCCGGCCACTGGTCTTCGTGTGCTTGTTGCTTGCTCATCTACAGACATGCTTATCTAGGTTTTATCTGATAAACTCTATTATACCAAATTGAATGGAGGGTCATGTGGAACAGATCATACTTCAGTGGGCTAGCATGCCAAAGAAAATGTCGCTGAGCTTTCCGGACCCCGAGTTGCATTTGAAGATACTTCTCCTTTGGAATCGAAAGTAATATTTCTTTTAGGTTGGATATGTCTTTCTCTGCAAGGATTAATGAAAATGCTCCCCAATCCAAGACATCAAAAAATGGTGGCACAAAGTTATCTGATATAATTACGGGTACACACTCGTAAAAGATGGCTTCAACCACCCGAGGACTGTTGACCTCATAACCCTTGGGACAGATACAATACTTGCTTCTCTGCATGTGCTGGATGTAATTCATTTTGCTTGCAACACCAGGAGGCATAGGACCGAAGATCTTCATGTCAGGATCTTTGTCTTTCCAGTACTTCAATAAGATTGGACGCAGGTAACCATGCATGTTTCCAGCATAGAAGGCAAGAATGTTTCTCTGAGAAGGTGGTTTTCCTCCAAGATCTCGGAGGGGATTTCTAGCAGACCGAACATATGTTTCAGGAAGAGACACATCCCTCCCTATCTTGAAGCCAGCAGTGACATCAGCATTGCACAATGCTTTGATGCAATGTTCCATATGGTGCCTTGTTTCATATGGAGCCTGAAAGAGTTTGATATATGATGTGACTCCCAAATGGTTAAGCATGAAACAAAACAAATAAAGATACACAGATCCACATTCAAAAATAAAAAATCAAGTTTCATGATTCAATTATAGTGAACCCTGTCAAGTGAATTTAATTCATGTCCAGTCCAGAAAAAGGTGGAATCATTCGAGTGAACAAAGAGTCAAGTGACCAGGTTACCAAATATCCCCAATATTACATTGAGATTACCAAGGCAACCTCAATAGCATGATGTGTAAGCAAATGGCCTCATGGGAGGAGGGTCAGTGAAAGTGAATTTGTTAGTCAGGATCGTCAAACTTACATCCAGTTCTAAAATCCCCAGCAACATCCTAACAGAGTAACATGTTTCATAAGCATTCAAAGTAAGTTCTTTCTCCAAAAAAGAATAGAGCAAAGCATTCAAAGAAAACCATGACAAGGAGGGGCACATGAAAGGCATACCCAGTCATGGCAGGCAACAAGGAAGTGATCTGCTCCACCTGTTCTATTCCAGTATGAATATTTAGCTGCAATGCTTTCCGCGTATCTTTTCATATATAGGCGAAGGTTTGTCCTATTGTGAGAGTTACGTACATAGAGGGTGTATTCTAGCATTCGTGAACTGAATGGCATGTAAAATAGGTGAGCTTTTCGGGGGTCTTTCACTACAAAATGCTTATTTCCCTGCATCAGTTTCATAAACCATCCTTCTGAGGCATACAGTCCCTTCAATATTGGTAGATGAAAAATGGGTTTTTTTCCGTCCTTGTAGATATAGACCTTCAGGGTGCGTTCCATAAGTTCGTAACTCCTGAAAAGGCAACGAAGAAGAAATTGAAAATTACATCTTGATTGTTAACCAGAAATTCCAATCTTGTTATCATGACACTAATAGATGTCAAAGCCCATATCTAAAGGTATCATGAAAAATAGAGGGATGACTCCAATTACAGTTGATCTATGCTTGCAGTTTTAAGATGATGTAAGCTGCTCTACTGGGATATTGTTAAGAGTATTATTCTTCTTTTTTTCCAGACTCCAAAAGATATCTACAAGCACTCTCCACATGATAGATTGCAGTTGTCTACTGGAGAGGCTTATTACAACCAAGATTTGAAATGAATACAGAGATTGGGTGATTCCAAGAATAAAACATAAAGTATGAATATCCTGTACCAGGTTAAAGACCAAACTCAATTCCATCTGTCCCCAACTTGTGGTTTCAAAACCCATTTCACGGTCTAACCCCAACAAAAAAAATCCATTGAAGTTTGTACTTGATACATTCATAACAGAAGAAACATATATTAGATGCATGAACTCTACATTCTTTTTTGGATCTGAAAACGTTAGTCATTAAATTTTGGCTGAATGTATCCTTTCAAATAAGACAAGGACTAAAGGACACATTCAGAAATCTCCATTGCTTTTAAGCATATTAGGAATATCAAGATTTTTAATGAATAGGATGAGCTTTATAGCATTCAACTGTACAAGCATACAGTAGCAGAAAAGAAAACCAAGAATGCCATCTTATTTAAGTTTGGCCAACAATGTCATAAGACACATACACAGCACGATGTACGGATCTTATTGCAGACTTAATAACTCTGTTATAATGACAACTTGTATATTTGTTGTTATTGCAGTTTCTCCTTTTATGTTTCTATTTCTTCTTCTTCTTCTTCTTCTTTCAATTTTCTAATTAGCTTTCTCTGTCATAGCGCTGACCTAGACCAGTGTTCAACTCTCATCAAACATGAAGGTAGATCAGGTATTGACGGTCCATAAGTTGTTGACAGTAAGGGTCGTTAACTGATCTAGTAGTCCAAAGTTTATCTAAGATTACCTTTTAAACTTGGAAACATTTCGAAAGAGAGGAGCATAAAGATCTCGATCATGCACCGCAGCTGGAGCACTTTCAATCTGGGACCTGGCAGCCAAAATCTCCTGATCACGTGCAGAGGACCATTTTGGTCTCTGCGAGAAAAATTTCAAGGTTTAGATTTCATGTTTTGAGTAGAGCGCTAACCAAGGTTCTATTACTCAACAGAATTAGTAGAATACCATCGAGCGTGAAGACCTACGGTGCCGCGCTAAAATGCTGTTCATTTCATCTATTAATGTTATTGATTTTGGTGGCATCTCACACCTCATCCTTTTTTTCCCAGGTTTGGCCAGCACTTCAGAATAATTTTTTGCGGCTGCAGAATCACTTTTTAAGGCAGCAGGACCAATAGAGGAACTTCCATTTGACTTCAAATAGGTGGCCTTTGTGGATGAAGCCACTTCTTGAGAGTCTACAGGAAGAGTAGAGTTTACATGCTCAAATTCTTTATGTGCTTGACTTTTGTTTTGTTGCAGTACATTGTCTGTCGGAATATCATGGTCTGATTTCACATTCCTCTCAAGAGGGAGGTTGAGTCTGGCTTCATTTGCCAATTTCAAGACAGGGTTACTTTCTTCAGTTTTGACTCCGCCCGATGCAAAAGTCTCATGTCTATCCTTACCATCCTCAGATGGAAAATCATCTTCCAAATCTCTATCCACCTCAAGCCGGATGACATCATCCAGGACCTCCATGTCCCCTTCCTTTGATGAAAAGTCATGATCTGTGTCTTCACTATTTTTCTTTGTTCCGTCATCGTGAACCTCTTCTCCACCACCATTGGAATCATCAGCGTTTTCTAGCACCCCATCAAACTTGAAATAATTAGTCAAGCTCGACTTATCAACCGTGAGAGGGTAGCGGACCATGACAGACTTTTTGGAAGACTGTATGACAGCGAAGCTCCTTTTATCATACATTGAATCATTTACATTGGGAAACAGAGAGCGAAGAGCATTTCCGTAAGGGAGCAATAGAAACTGAAACAGTGTGTGAGTTACAGCCACCACCCCGAGTACAAGAAGCCATCTTCGGTTTACATTCTGGAATAACTTAGGAAGCTGAAAGCTAAGTTCCATGTCGAAAAGGAAAAAAAATTGTAGAGCAGAAATCACCCAGTCATTATAGGTAACAACTCCAAATTCCTTCTCTACCGCTGCCTAAGTTGTCCAGAAAATGAGCCAAAAAAATCAAAGAAGGAGGAGGATGAGGAGGAGTTATTTCATCTAGAGCATTAAATTAAAAATCTAGTCCTAGAAAATAAATAAATAAATGAAAACTACAAAATGAAGCGGAAGCAACAAATCTAGATAGAACTCAAATTTCCCAGACATACTAAAATTCAAGGCAATTTTTTTTTTAAAAAAAAAAAAGTAAAGTAAAACTTACTCCATCGAAGCAAGCAGAATGGAATACGGAGAAAAATAAGCAAGTTGATATATTAATTAATAATAAGCACATGATGCAATAAGAGAATTGGAAGACATAAATTGAAAGACTTGCTGCTATGTAGTTAGGCAGGAGTGATGATTTAAAATGCATGTCATGCCTGTTCATTAAGAAACAGGAATCGATCTTCACAAGTTGCAGGAAGAAGAAGGAGAAGAAGAAGCAAGCGATGCGTGAAAGAGAGAAACCCTAACCTGAGTAGCGTGAAAGAGAGAAACCCTAACGTGAGTAGAGTTCAGTTGTCGGTGAACAAATGAAATGAAGCTTACTATGCACTCATAAGTTATAGTTTTCACTTTAGCTACCAGAAGAAGAAGTTTTGAGTGAGCGAGCGAGTGAAGAATCAATATAGTAATGATTCTTCAGAACAGCAAGCAGCGATGGTACACAGAAAGGAACAATCAAATTAAAGAAGAAGAAGAAAGAGGCGTGTACTTCACCAATGGCAGACAAATTGCTATTTCCTTTATTTTATTTATTTTGCTTATCTATTTTCTTTTCTTTTTTTAATTTTGTATACTTATTATTTGATTGTGGAATAATTTAGACTGAATGCATCTGTCATTTTCATGATTTCATCTCTCGCAAGACGCAAGTTGATACCAACCGGGTCCATCGTGGTTCAATAGTATTTTAAAAAAAAACTTTAATTATTTTTTAAATCATATATTAATATCACAAATAAATTTTAAAAAAATATTAATATATTTTTAAAAAAATACTTTTAAAAACCCACATTTGCCCCACTCCTCCTAGTAGATCCGGAGTGAATTGAACGAATGAGTCAACTGTAGAGGGAGGGATGTCAGGTGGGTTCCATGTAAATTTGTCTTCTCCTTTAATGCCTGTTTTTATTTTTTTATGTATTAAAAATATTTTAAAATTTTTTTATTTTTTTATTTTTTAAATTAATATATTTTAAGTATTTTTATATCATTTCAATTCAAAAATAATTTTAAAAAATAAAAAATATATTATTTTGATATATTTTTAAAAAATATTTTAAAAATAATATTAATTATACTTCCAAACATACCCAAACATTAAAAAAAAAAAATCCATCAACAATTATTTTTCATTCTATTTCTTAGCCATCTTTTTTTATAATTAATTTTTTTATAAAAAAATTGTAAAGTAACATAAAATAAAATGAAATGAAACAACACTGTTTAAATTTATGATGATTCAAAAAAACAACCCAGGACCCAGCCCCTCTCTCTGTGAGAGAGAGAGAGAGAGAGATGTTTTTCTCGCAGCCCCCAATGCTTCCACCACTTTCTATGTAGAAAATCACGTAAACATCCTATATTATTATTATTGTTATTGGTTTAGTTGTGATTAGATTATTATTTAGATTTTCTTGAAAATGTTATTGGTTTAGCTATGAATTTAAGCAATGAGAGTTGATTTCATGCGATTTTGTTTGGATTGTGCACAAATGATCAAAATTGATTTTATTATTTTTTCTGAATGATATGTTTAACCTTTTTTATATTATGTTATTATATTGTTTTTTATATGAATAATAGCATTACTTACACTGATCAAAGTAAATATTAATAAATCTAGGTATGTTATATGTAGATATTAAACAACTTACATGTAATAAACTTGGATTGAATTATAATAATATTAAAGTTAATATAACACGAAAATATAAAATTAAAAAACATCATTATTAATGATCCTGTATTGATTTAATGTGATTTTAGTTTTAACATAACAGCTGATTTTTCTGTCCTTGTTCCAACCTTTGGCCGAAAGGATAGAATAACATCAAATGTAGATATGACTCAAAATCTTCATTCAACTTTAAATTTAACCTCTATTTATGCACCCAGTAAGATTTCATCACTCAACCATCCCAAGGGTGTTTTATTTTCTATTATACTTTCAGGTTTCGACTGCATTATCAAAATCACACCAAGTTTTTGAAACGTTATGATTAAAGCTCAATTATTGAAACATACTTTTTCCCCTTTCGGATCTAATATTGTATAGAAAATGAATGCGAGAAGGCAAAAGTGAAAAGAAATGGCATTCCCATCTGGTCCCCAACAGAGCCAGAGGATGGCAGTGGTACACGACATTTTGCCATCTTTCTTAAACAGAGAAAGAAAAAGAAACAGGTCTTCTGCCAGCCAATGCCACCGTGGTGGATGACTGGAAGGTTGACCATAGTTGCCAGGATGGAGGTCAGAGTTATCACCAACAAAGCAAGGCCTTGAATGAAAGATTCAGTTCCCACAGTCAAGAGCACACACCTGTTGCTTTGCACAATTTATGCACATAAAAACAACATACAAATGATTATTGTACCAACCGTCTCAAGTAATCCCATGCTTCCCTTAAACATTGCATCATGGTGTTTTAACATGTGATTTTTCCCGCTCCGTTACCCAGAAATGCATGGTATTAAACTTTTCTCAGCTTTCCATTACCCAGAAACGCAAAGTATAACACCGTCATTTGCTTTCCATATGAAAAACTCTGCTGTGCCAAACTGAATGAAGAATCATATGGAATAAATCATACTTCAAAGGTTTTTTGTGCCAAAGGAAATGCTGTTGGACCTTCTTAACTCCTAACTGCATTGCAACGTACTTCTCTTGTGGGATAGAAAGCAGAATGTTTCTCAAATTTGGGATGTCTTTCTCTTTAATAAATACAGAAAAAGCCTCCCAGTTCAATACCTCGAAAAGAGGAGGCACGTAATTGTCTGATACGATGACTGGCACACACTCGTAGAAAATTGATTCAACCACTCGTGGCGTGTGAACTTCATAACCCCTGGCACATATGCAATACTTGCTTCTCTTCATATACTCCCGGTATCTTCTTTTGCCTGCAATATCACGAGACATCGGACCAAGGATTTTCATGTCAGGTTCCTTATTTTCCCAGTACTCCAGCAGAATTGGTCGGAGATAACCATGCATGTTTCCTGCAAAAAAGGCCAGAATAGGCCTTTCTGAAGGAGATTTTCCACCGAGTTCTTTTAGAGGGTTCTCAGCAGAACGTATGTATGTAACAGGCAGAGTAGTATCCTTGCCAATCTTGAAACCTTTGGCAACATTAGAGTTGCAAAGAACCCTGATGCAATTCCTCATATGATGCCTCGTCATTTGGGAGGCCTGAAAGTCAATATGAAATCAAATGAGCTACTACCCAGAATTATCAGGAAATATGACAGTAAGACTAGGATTAGCTACATGATAGCAAGTTACATATCATCATGGTCAACAATTACTCTATTACTAAAAATCATCATAATTCAGGTCCTTTGCTATCCAGGGCACTCAGAAGAGTCTCCCTCGCTATGAGCACCATTCAAACTTCTCAAAGTTATCAGTCCAATCTCACAAATAAGTACAATCAAACTAGGCAATGAGGCTTGTGGCCATGGATGACAGTTAATTCTGCCCAACTGTTTGGTCATTTGGCCGGGTTTGCCTGCAGCCAACCTACAAAGTCAAATGCATGTCATTGGATGCTTCTGATAACACTATCAACATTCTAAAGCACTTTGACAACAGTTCAAGAAACCCATGAATTAAATCTTTATGATGCACAGAACTGTAAAGCATACCCAGTCATGACAGCCAACAAGAAAATGATCAGTTCCTCCAGTTCTATTCCAGAAAGTATACTTTTTAGCAACTAAATCAACATAGTTCTTCAAAAATTCTGCAAGTTCCTTTTGATTGTGAGAATTGCGATCAAACAGGGCCATCCTTAACATATGCGGACTAAATGGCAAGTAAAACAGATGAGCTTTTCTTGGGTCCCGTACTACAAACTTTTTGTTTCCCTCTATCAGCTTCATAAACCATCCTTCTGAGGCATATATTCCCCTCATCTTTGACTGGTGAAATATGGGTTTTTCTCCTTCCTTATAGACATAAACTTTGAGCATGCGTTCCATCAACTCGTAACTCCTGCAAATGAAATATATGGAAGCTTTAGCTCAGTTTCTATAAGAGGTAATTCTGCAACCATCATGCAGATCAAGAATTCAAAAACACATGGCATCTCCTCAGGAACTCAGGTGGAGCTGTGTGCAGGCATAATTTTGCAGTTGATGTACTAGATCCCAGAGGTCAGAGCAATATTATGATTCATCAATCTCAGAATGTTTTTGAGTCAAGTGATCAAGGAATTGAAATTATTGGGCAAATACAACGTAAGTAAAACTATTAGCATGAAGCAAAATACTAGTGTTCCCTGCTTCAAATATTAGGCAGTTAATCATGTTGTGATTTGTGTGTGTGTGTGTGGGGGGGGGGGGGGGGGGGGGGGGGTTGCGCGCAGCAAAATCATTATTTTGGCCAACAATTTCATAATGCTATTGGCATTAGAAGTAGTAGATGTCTAGATATGCTGCAGAATGGATAGAAGTCTTCTGCGACCCACATATACCTCAGATACTGCCCAGTATTCTACATCACTGCACATATGCTAGTGTAACCAATATTTGACCACACCATAAGTCATTCCTGACATGTAAAATAACTTTCCAGCTGATTAAAAGAGAGAAGAAACATTAAATATGAAATAGTTCATAGATATAATTATATAAAATACTGAACATTTAAAGAGGCTCACCTTTTGAACATGGAAATATTTCGAAAGGCAGAGGCATAAAGTCCAGGAGGGTTATCTACACGAGGAGCATTCTCTATCTCCAATTTTGCTGACAGAAGTTCACGATCACGAACAGACAACCGTCGTGGCTTCTATTACCAATAAAAGAAATAAGTGAAAGTTCCAACAAACAAAACTCCTTCCTACCATTCAAACAGATTCTTGAAACTATGAATTCTTACCATAGAATGGGAATAAACAAGACTATGAAGCAATAGTGAATTCATTTGGGATATTGACGTGGACTGCTCCCACCTCTTCAATGTGGATATACTATCCCTCGAAGAATTATTGTTCAAAGTGACAGAAATGGTCTGCAATAATTCAGCATTCTTGGTTTGCGTCTCCATATGTTCCAAAGAAATTACCTTGGTAGGGAAGAACGAGTCAGAGGTTATTGAATCTCTATCCCTATTTTCCCCGTTCTTTTTAGAAACACCCAATAATACACTTGGCACAGTGCCAGCATTACTTTGAATTCCTCCAAATGTTGAGCTATTGGTTGCTTCCAATATTTCAGTTTCGCCAACCTGCTTCAGGTGTTTGCTTCCAGTTTCTATAGATTTTTCCTGTGAAGAAGTATTGTCTGTACTTTTACCGAGCATTTCCCCCAACTTGAGCAAGACATCATTTTGTTCAATCTTATTAGATGACAACTCATAGTCTGCCTCTGTGTTTTCTATTTCATCCTCATCCCCAGCTTCTTCACCCAAATCAGATGAATCAGAACCATTTGTCATGATATGAAATACACGTATGCTTGACTTTGAACTGTTTGATAAGATGGGATTGCTGATCAGCATAACTACAGAACCCTC